GACAGTAAGCTAAATAAAAGAAGTAACAAAAAAAGACTTTTTACCAGTAGATCGACTAAACAGAGCTTATATGAATGAGACTTACCGACCGATATGTCTTCGTTCACAACGTTTAGATATTGAAATTTTAGGCACTAAGCTATAAGCCTCGAACGCTTCATCTGAGTTTTGTTTTATCAATAAGTTATTTCTTCCACCCATTACTTATGGATACATGTTAAGCTTTGATATGTGATTACCACGATGAAATAATTCCATTTTTAACCTACACTTGCATATGCTGAGTGTCAATCAAGTACCCTTTGAATGAACAATTTGCCGTTAAATTATTTCAAATTAGCGGGAGACTACAAAAATCTGAGTTGCAATTAAAATTTTAAACAGATTTCGTAAACCAGACATGCGAAATCACTGCCAAATATTAATGACATTTATTTGACTGCAGAAGCCCAAATATATCTTGAATAACGGATCACTAATTACATAAAGATGTAAATGGGATACATTGGTTTACACGTATGTGATACGTTGGTTTCAAACCAATGACTACGAAGTTCTCTCAGTTTTTAAAGAGAACGTCGACGACTATTTACTGCCAAAAGCCAATTTTATTGAGAGTTATAAGTGGATATTTAAGGCTATACCCCGTTAAGACATAAACCCAAAGCTTTAATGCTTCACACAGTTGTTATTTATTAATTTACTAGTTTGAACAGCTTACTTTCAGTACCAGAGTTGGTAAACATTAGGAAATCTCAAATCATTAAATGCTTAGCAACAGGATTATCAAGCTAACTGTCGTACATTTTTGAGGAAGGAACAAACTACTGATGTGGTTTTTTTAAACAACGGAATCTTGTCAAATGAGTATATGGGTGACACTTGTGTGCCGACCTATGATGCATATTTGCACTAAAAGGCCAACCTTATTCTAAATACCCGTTTTTCACAAACTACATAATATTCGAAAGAGATATTTTTGATCAGAATTTACAAAGTGAACATGTTCTGAACAACATCGACCATTGGTTAGTTTCCCATATGTATACGATTAATCTCAAAGACTGATGGTATGTAGGTGGATCATATATACGAGTTTAAACAACCAACCCTTAGTGACAACTGCTTCAATGTGAAGGTAGAGGGTCTTCAGCACACAAAGGGATTTATGTCTGAGGTATTTGACTTAAACCTTAAAACAAACCTTTACACAACATCGCAACGTACCATTTTGTAGTTTGTGCTAAAATTGAGTTTCCCTGACTTTAAAATAGATCTTAATACTTTGTTATCCTATTCAAAAACAAAACTGTTGTTTTTTTTCAACTGAAAACTATTCATGAAGTTGAACCTCTCTCCGGATAAATGCTAAACCTTTGATGTAGCTGTCGTAGTATCCAAAAAACATTACTCAAATGCCCTAAAAAACATCTAACAAACTTACTCTATTCACTGAAATAATACGTGGGGAAGATAGTGGTCAAAGTAACACCTTCCTCAAATTATCGCTTTTTGAGCTTCCAATATCCAATATATTTCAAATGGTTCAAATGGTTCAAATGGTTGTGGACGGAATAGAAGAAGCTTTCGCTTAACAGGCTTCCGTGTTTAGTAGCAGCGGATAACCAAATCCTCCAGGCAGGAACCTAGGTATGTTAACAATAAAAAAGGAAAAGAAATTGGTAAATCATAATGTGATGCTGTCCTTGGTCCTTAAGAATAGGTCAAGTTGCCTCTTGAAGGACTCCTGAGAAGTCGCTTGGACTAGCTCGGCCGGCAGCGAATTCCAGATTTTGACAACTCTTAAGGAGTAGAAGTTGTGTCTACATTCCGTCTTCCTATGTTGTGTTTCCAGTTTCTGGGTGTTACCCCTTAGGTTATTATTCGAACTAAGCTTAAGTAGGTGTTTAAGAGGATGTCCAGAAGTGTTAAGAATACTATAAGCCATTAGTAAATTACCTCTAAGACGCCTATATTCTAGTGGGTAAAGGTCTAGTGAACGGAGGCGTTCTTCATAAGGCTTAGATTTGAGTCCTCGAACTGATTTCGTGGCTCGCCGTTGGATACGCTCCAAAGTGACCTTGTCCTTTTGGAGTGAGGGGGGGAGTACTATGTTTCCGTACTCTAAATGGGGACGGATGAAATTATTGAAGCATGTATAGAAAGTTCGTCCGTCAAACTGTCCGAAAATGCGCTTCAACGTTACCAGTGCAAGGTTTGCTCGGAAGGCATTTTTGTCACAGTTAGCATAAGACTTTAAGTCATGGGGCACCAGGACTCCTAAATCTTTTTTGACTTGGGATACTACTAGAGAGGAGTTTCCTAATTTGTAACTGTAGTTTGCGACATGTTGCAGATGGACTACTTTACACTTTGAAGTGTTAAAGGTAAGTCCGTTATCGTCACCACAGACATTACATGTCCGAGTCTTATTGGCGAACTATCGTTGATCAATTGATTTATTGAGCTCCCTAGTTTTAAAGAAAGGTTTTAAATTATTGATATTGTCTAGTATGGACAATGAAGCTAACTGACCTTATAACCCTAGTGCATCCGACAGTCGATGTAAATATTATCGTGACCACAAATAATATTATATAGCACCAGGTATGCGAAAACTGGGAGCTTTTATGTTTTAGGGAGGTTAGCTGGTAAGTTGATGTATGAGAGACCGAAGAAGCAGAAAAGAAGCAAGCAGAGCGAATAGAAGTGCCAAGGCAAATAAAGAAATAGAACACCATTACCAATTAGTTAAAAAGTGGCGTCACAAGTAGCTAGATGAGTACATAAGGACGGCAGATGGAAAAACATGATGATAGATAAGTCGTTATGCGGGCTTTTTTTTAGCTGAAGGCTCTCGGTCATGCATCGGCATTAGATCGCAAGTGAGAACGCCGTGCCCAACTTCCCTTGCATTCGCTGGCCGGATTAGATCAGTCGATTCGCGATATATTGAAAACCAAGCAAATATATTTTCGAATCTCCTCGCTTCTGACTTTCGACTTCAATTGGTGAGCACAATTCATAACAAATGTTATTGGTAAACACGTTGTCAAACTCCAAATACCTGTGGCATATTCACCTGCATCCCTGTTCTGTTGATTGATGTGGATAGTTGGTGAACCGTACTCGAACGCAAATAAAATTGTGCGCATTGTATCCCGGTTTCTCGAAAGCTTATGAGAGAATACTTCATCTCTTTTTTTACTAATAAGTCCGAGTTGATCTAAATCAGGTCACCAATGACAGGCTAGTTTATGTCAGATGTAATCAAATGACGTTGTAATATTGGGTTGGACTTTGGTCTTTCTAGGGCTACAGAATGACCGTTTCCGGTGCTTTAAGGTTTAGTATTAGGATCTCTTCCCCTTCTGCATTTGCAAATGTGTTTTCTCATCAAGTATCATTTGTAGTATAACTCTTTGCAGATGTCGAGTTTTGAAGAGAAATTGATAAAAGCGGGATTGTAGAATTATAGTCTAATAAGATATTATTACTGCTCTAATAATAGACCTAATCCTAAAATCGTAGACTTTTTAATATTTAACTACCTTATCGATAAGATCTTACGTGGAAGTCACATCATCGTCTACACCAACTCACTGTATCGTAACAATTACCAATACATGATGGAGAACAAGCTTAGGCTATAGAAAAAAGAATATATTTAATATGAATAAAAAATTTAAGGTGACATTAAACAAACACCACGCCTGAAAAGCTCAGCCATGCCATTCGATCAACTTTAATTCATTCAACCACTTGTTCCCGCCTTCTTCATCGTTTGGTGTGTAGCGTGTTGTCGAGTTGAGGTTAACTATGAACACCACTACCAAGAAACACGTGCCAAATAAATCAGAAGGCGAGGGTTGAACGTAACCAAATAGATCCATAAAATCCCCAAGAAGCCAAATACCAGAAGGCAGTTAATGGACCAAATCGAAATATTTATTTGCTGGCGATCTCGTGGTATCGAAAGGATACAGAGATCGTGCCAGGATACAAGCTTGGTTACAGAACGTAACCGAATTTGCGCGAAGTTACAATCAAAGTGTAAGTATATGAATGGAAGCACAAAATAGCTGTCATTAGAACAGTTAAACAGAAGCACATTAAAACAAACACTGAAACAGTTGGTTATAATAATAATTGTTTTTATTAAACCAGTCGTGTTCTCGTGATAAACGCGAGTCACTACAGGTGTTTATCCGCGTTAAATATTGAATATCTCTTTCTCGAGTATTCTCGCATTCAGCTTTGAGGATTGTGTGGTTATAGTCCAGTGCTACTACAGGATAATAAGCTGTAAATGCAGGACAGTTTATCAATAATGAATCGACATTCAATAGATCAAAGGGTTATTTATTCTGTTAGCGGTCCTCTTCAGAGATATCTCAGGTGTTGAAACATAAACGTGTTGCAGTACATTAGCAATTATGAAGGACGTTTTTGATCTTTTTTTAATAGAATTTTATACCTAAATTTTAACTTACCTTCAGCTCCATTTATAATGTTTCCCTCTTCCTTACGTAGGGGTAATAATACCCTGGAACAGGTCCAGAATTAAGGAGCACATTCACTTCGAAAATTTAAATTCAAACCTCATTAAGATCGTCTCAAACCACCTGATGCTTACCCAATAAACGATGGATGACTTAGGAGGGACCGTTTTAGTACGTATAGGATAATGAATACTTCTTAAAATCCTTTCGAACTTATTGCCCGCTGATATGTTCCAGGCAACCTGATCAGTGTTTTTTAAGAGGAAACTCGACATATTCTGAAGGATTATGGACAGTATTTGATTCGTACTCACTAACATGTCACTTCTTATTTATTATACCTAGATGAAAACCTGTGAACATTAACGACTCATTGCCTCTAGACACAGCATTCCATTTCGTGAAAAATTCTTTAAATTCATGTACAACTATTTGAACTATTTACAGAAATAGTTTGAATTCGTCAGAGATTCATATGTTCCGCTTAACCTTGATATTACCTTGTAAAGGCGGGCCCTTTGATTCCTAATCTTTTAAGATGGCCTCAAGAGTTTAGTGGATAGTATTCATTGAGAATGATCCAGTTGAAATTATCCGATAGTGACATATGTGAAAGACGAAAGGCACAGTTAAAGGAATGGTGTGGTTCAGAGACCGATCATGCGTCGTCAAAAATGAGGGAGCCGGAGAAAATCAAGTTTCCATTATCGGTTCAGCTACTTGCCGCATGTAGTAACAGTGATTTGGATGAATTTTCCCGTTTACTTAAGCTTGGAACGGACATTAACACGCAAAATGCTGATGGATTAACCAGCACACACTTAGTATGTCGTGGTTTTCTTCAAATCTCTCTTACTATAAGGCTTGTATCAATGTCGACTTTGATTTTTTAAAGTTTCTTATCAGAAATGGTGCGGATATCAATCTACAGGATCACGAAGGTTGGACTCCTTTGCATGCAGCAGCTTCTGTGGGTTGCTGTGAACTAGCCAGGTTAGTATTCCATGTTTTAGCCGATAGCTAGCATTAGGATTTGTACTGAATTTGTGTCCACTAGCAGTTACATTTTTGCATTTATAGTTTGCGCTCTAGTTGCCGCCAGAGTTCTGCATATTTAAAAGCGTAATGGTTTGGACAGACACACCTTTCGTTTTATGATATACGGGTCCTAGCTTAAACCATTACTCGATCCAGTCATTAGTTATTTTGGCGAGACTATAATTTATGAACGACCTTTGAACAAATCGTTAGTGACCTTTAAAAATATTAGTTAATCACTAAGCAGTCAGCATGGAGTAAAATATATTATACAAAACCAAAGAAATAAAGTGGATGCACTTATTGTGCATTGTTAAGAAGCTTGACAAGTTTAGAAAGAGATTCAGAGGTACTAAAATCCTAATGCATGCAGCAGAGAGAATCACCCACATGGCTACAAAATAGTCGGCCACTGGAGCCATGATAAATATGCAAAAACTTCCAGCCTTGACCACATAGCTTCAGTATTGTTTGTGTGTACTCCGGTTGTTGAGTACGCAAAATGCCACTTATGGATAACGTCACGATATAGATATGTAGGAGTCTGTACGCTCTCCAATAATTCGTATGCATTGTAGCACCTACTCTCAACAAGTGTTACTGGCGCTTTCATTATCCAGTTCGCAATAATTGTCATAATTAGCCTTAGTTAGGAATTATATATAGAGTTTATATATTGGCGCTCTCTTGCACTAATATTCATGTGTTCAAATAAATAATAAATTTCATCACGAACTGACGTCAGCTATAATGCCAAAACTCTTTAAACAAATGGGGATAAGATCTTTGCGCCAAAATCCGAAGTCTTTTATCTTATACCCGATTGGTTCGTCCACAAATTATAGTCTGGCCGTTTAATTTGTTATAGGCGCTCAGTTATCACGTTTTGTATAAAATTTCCTGTTAACCGATCGCACGTTAGCACTAAGTTCTGAAGTTGGTGCTGTTACCACTGAATCCCTCAAACGCTTCTGAGTAGCTCGTCCACAAATTATAGTCTTGCCGTTATTTTATTTAGTAATTTCAATCATGTGTGTTCTCACTATATGGGTTATACGGATTGAGACACTAGATATGTTTTTGATGGTTTGCAGTAGACTACGTATTTGTTGTGCTTTTTCAATGTAAAGTTAAACATTACTTGTAGTTTTCACTTGTTGGGAATTTACTTTCCCCTGTCCCAGTGTCTCGTCATTTCCTTAATGGACATAAGGAAATGCAAGTTTAAAAACGAGTTTATTATTAAGATATGGAGTAGCTTTTCGTTCATCACCAATAAGCCCCGTCATATATATTATCCAAGATTTCAGAAACAACTTTATATGTCAGGCGGCATTCGTGCTAAATGACTGCAAGTGCCAAATTTTAAGTGCAGTTTCACGTATAGATTAACTACTTTTGTAGTTAGTGATTTTTATTGTTTAATGGTTCATCGTTAACCTAAGGTAAGGATAGAGATTTGTCGACAAAGGCCAACTTTAATGCTTCACTATAGACTTATGTTTTGAGCCACCAGTTGGATTTTTTTCAAACCAAAAAGAAAGAACGTTACATGTTGAGTTAAGCAGTCTAGTTACAGCTATCAGCACTGACGTTTTTCTGCAAACGTTTTCATACTTTCGGATTTTTTTGAGTATGATTTTTGCAAAACTCATAGGTCTTGCAACTACAGAGCAATCTTTTTGTCACCATTTTTTGATATCGTTCCTTATGATTCATTTTAGGACCTATTAAGAAGTATAGACTGCCGTTCTTAACAGTTGCGAATGTATTTTGTCTTTTACTTGATCTCCGAAACCCCGTCACCCCGTCTTGTATTTTCCTAGTCTGTATTCAAACCAAAGTAACCTCAACTTAGTGTAGCTAGGTGGACTGATAATTTTTTAGTGATTGACCAAACATATGTTGCGGGCTTATGGTGATGCATGCAATAATGTTACTGAATTTCCCACTAAGTCCTAGTGATTTATTCTGCGATACTGAACAAATGATGAATTCTACATTTCCCTGTGAGTCGATTAATCTCAGATAATTTACTCTGATTAGGTATTGTAGGGGAGAAATAAAAGTAGCTGAAATAAGTAACTATAGGATTTCTCGATGATTACACATAGTAGCTAGTTCGTTAAAAGCGAACGTTTTATCAGTCGGTCAGCAACGTTATCTGTTAAGTGTTTCGAGGTGTAAAATGTTAGTAAAAATTTCACCGAGGAAAGTGAGCTAGTGGCACACTTCTACGAATGGTAATTCAGTATAATGGTATGTTATGGTATTATGGTTTTTATCAGATTGTTCTCATTTCTTGCTGCACTTTTTGAAACTAATAGCATCTCAATGTAAATACTCCTCTATTGTCTAACATACTCTTGCGGATAGCAAATCTGTGTGAACCAGGCATGTTTCTACCTTGTGCATGTCATACCTATAGACTGGGACTATACGCTAATTACATTTATTGATCGATGGTCAGCATCGATCAACTGCTTGTTTGATCGATTTCAGTGAAGTGTTTTAAACAGGCTCATCTTATTAATGAGGGTTCTTCTCTGGATTTAACTGTCAAGTGACCAAATGTCATTCATTCGTAACTGATGTAGGATCTGTCACGGAAGATCATCCCAGGTTTTTACATCACAGCAGCTCATCACGATAAACTTAGAGGGACTCGTAACAAGAGCTGAAGTTATAATAAGATGTAGGATAGTGAAAAAGATTAAATATAGAATGTTTCTAAAATTAAGAGTAAGATTAAACAATGAAAAGTTTGAAACCGTGAAAGCCATTGTCTAGAACCCACACATCTTCACCAATGTGGCGGATTCTGATTAGTATCATGCAAAGTCTTTAACAATTGATTACATTTACCATGAGTAGCCTAAGGAGGTAGCTTGCATCTTTAAGCATGGCTCAGATCAACAGTCTATGACCTCATGGATAGACTTCATGTCTTGGTTTGCCCGCCCTAGCATTGCTCAAAAATAAGTCATGTAGAAAGCTAACATTTATGTTCCATAAGTAGAGATATCGATCAACTATAGGCATTTATTTTTATTAATTTTTTAACGAACTTCAGTCTCGGAGTAACTTCGTACATGAATTTCACTCTTGAGATAAATCTAAAGGAATGTCAACGATGTATGTGATACTAGATTAAATTGATTTCATTGAATTTTGCTCATTTTATAGTTTGCACTAATTAATGGGTGTAAAATCTGCTCTAGATCGGCGGTCAGAGCACCAGACTTTCAACTGCTGTGATTCAAATTAGAACGACATTTACCTACTTCACTTTAAAATGACAGTTGCTATAATCTACTTTTATGCCTGAATATAGGCTCAAAATCGAGTGCATAAGCTCGTTTTTGTTTACTGAGAAACGTATCAAATGTCGGCTAATCAGTCACGCAAATAAATTCACACAAATACATAACCATAAAATACGTTGAATTTTGTAATTCTCTAACTGCACTGAGTTCATTGTTTTCAATCCCTACGGTCCTGTTTATATTTCCACTACTTATTCAGTGATTTTGGAGGATTCGAGTGTCATTGATGACCCAATATCATCAACGTTTTCTTGTTTGAAAAAAATAATGATAATATTATTATAAAATGTTTTCCTACCCATTTTTATAGACTTTTTTTCACATATCTAAATTTAGGCTAAACGTGTTGTTCAATCTTCTATACTCTGTCGTTCGTATGTTGAAAAATGTGCCTTAGACAACATTAATCAGCTCCGCTTTCTTATGTTTTCACAGTTTCAGTTAGTAATAAGCAACAGGGAATGTGTAGTATGTCTGGGTTGGTTCAAGGTTCCACATCATATCAACGCAGAAAGCTGTAATTATCAAGACAAACATCAGTAGTACAAGTAATGGCATCGATAAGGGTAGGGAAGATTAGGTATAGACAATATAATTTAAAAGGAAAGAATTAAATTGTAGAATGAGGAGTGAATCTGTCTTATTGAGACCAATTTGAAGTCATATCATTCAATGTCTCTGACCGTTGATTAAGGTAATCGTGCTGATGCTAAACAAGTAGTCTGGACTTACCTATACGACTCAATCTGGGTAGACGGTTATAAAGCCCCACTGGATTTCTGTTAGTCAAAGTTAACACAAATTCCTACTGTTTCGAGCTTTAGTTCATTTCAGCGTTTTAAAAAGTGTAACAAATATCACAAAATTCATGTAAATTATCACTTTAAAAGATTTTTTTATGAAAATCATTTCTAGTAGTAACGTTTTTTTGTTCGGTATATTTACAAAACACAACATTCGTCCTTTAAATATTAATGTTTTAAGGATATTTACAACATGCACTGAGATAATTATTAAATTTCTTCGATGAACTCAGGTATAGGATTCATTTAACTATTTTACTGGCCGTAAAAGTATGTAGCGAAATTTATCAAGTTCTGGAAATTTCTATGTGATTTTCTATTGATTGATGATTCAATTTGGATTTTGAAATCACTGAACTATCATTTCTAAAAGCCAATGAAAGCAATTCATTAAGAACCACTGTTTATCATTACTTTTTTCAACAGCTTTCTCGACTTTATCAAATAAGACTATCAATATTTTATTCAACCTTGACATAATGAGGGTAGCTTTTCGATGCTAATATCTATTGAATCTCTAGAAGAACTGTTCATCAGAATTTTCCTTGTAATTACTTTATATTTACAGTTGTTCGTAAGAATATGCTACTTACATTTTTAGACTATCATGTTAGTACTGGTTTTATAGCCTTCACTTTCTTTGATTTGTATTGGTGACACTTGAAAGTAAAATTTGTGTTACTACTTCTACTACTAATACAGAGTCGAATGGAGTATAGAAACCTTTTTTTAAAGGATTTTCTACTCCTTTTTTGCAAATGGCTCAACGTTGGAAAACCTCTGTTATATTAGTTTTGACTTTTGCATTCTTTTAACTGTATACATT